ATAGTTAAGCACTTTTACAAAGAATAAGCTCACCAAGTAACTTACCTCAGTTAATTATAACACTTAACAGTAACAATAATTACAATGTTATATAACTGAATGTGCAAGGTACACACTGTTACATCCCAACAGCACGTACAACACCAGACTAATCCAAGGAGTCGTGGTCTCTCCCTCCCTCCCTCTCTCTCGTACCCTGGTGTAGACATCACCAAAGTGTTGTTCTGCGATCTGATGAGACAGTCTTACTGATCACATGGGCTGGCAGCTACCATGTGGAGTAGTAGGAACGCGATCATGTGCTAGGTTGCGAATTACTGTAATTATACAGGTCAAGTTGTGGAGCATTCTCACACCGTCACATGAGTTTTACTGTTTTCTGATTGAAGGTTGAAGGTTGAAGGTTAAATAAGATTAACTATAATAATATGAACTGGAGAGTGGAGTGGGCTCCTAAGGAGAGCTGTAGTAAACTTGGTAATATTCTATGTTGAGTTAGTCTAGTTGTAGTGCACCAGATGGGCTTGCTAGTTAAATATAGCTTCCAGCTCACTGTCCTACACTGATGAAATGAGGGTCCGCCCGCCACCACCGCTCCTAACAGCCTCTCTAACGTGGTATTTAGATCGTATTCTGTTACAATAATGAGTGTTGATGACGTCAATGAATCATACTGAGGAGAAACTGAATGCCGAAGGTAGGAGATTTAGTCTGCCAGTATGATAATTCATTTTCCGATCTATTATATATTATATAATATTATATTATCTACAATTTTCTAAATAAAAATCGTGGGTGTTAATTGTAGTTTTATATGATAGTTGGTAACGGAGTGAAACAATATGCTGACATTTTATGCATATCAGAACCCACAACAATAACCTCTTATATCGTTTCTGTTTTGAAAATATCTGAACTTCAAACAACAAATCAAGAGATGGAATGGTAGTATTTAATTTAGCCCAAAAGTCTAAACGTTACTCTCACCTGTAAGGTCAGTGCCGAGAAAGATGCCCTTAAATATTCTTAAATTCTTCATTTCATTCTCAGATGGAACGATAAATTTCTTGCTGAAGTTTAAATGTCATATGTCAATTGAACTACCAAAGGTAAATTAGTTTGAATTCATGGAGATTCCTACCTTATTTTGCCATGATATTCTAATCTTTACTCTTTAAACGTCACTCTGATGATTTGTTGTTCAATAATTGGAGAGCATAGCTCTCTCCATTTCAGTTTGGCACTCCTCCAACTGATTGTCAAATGTGTATAATCAACATAATAGTTCACAATGTATTGACTATTGAGCTATATTAACTATCTGGCGTTGACAAAGGAATCGTCTGTTATAAAATTGTATCACATCAATAATTCATGTCGGATATGTTTCCTAGCAGGAATTTGTTTGAACAGTATACTATAGTGAAACCATTTAGAATTAGTGGTTGAGATCTCTGATACTAATAATTTAGGCCTCACGGTAATTCAACTCGAAAAACATACTTTACTACTATTTTTGGCCATAGAATCGATTAAAAGCTGTACAGTAACGATTGGATTAATTGTGTATTTTGGCTGAACTTACGGACAATTTCTTAAAAACTGCCAGATCTAAATCTACAGTAGTTAATTCTTGTTCACTACTTCGAAGTGCTCAATTTGGTTAAGAGGAGCTGCAATGTTGCACTGAGAATTGTTTACTTACATCACTGTACAGTAAAACGTACACATGAAAGTAAACTTAAAACTTTGTTCACTAGATTTGATAGTTTTATTAGTACAATTTTCATCATTTTGTTTGAGATCAAGTACAATGAACCTAGGAGTTCGCACATGTTAGTTTTATAGTTTGACTGATTTCACACCCCTGTCTAGTCTGGTCAATGATCTATTTTACCCAGGAAATCATTACAAGTCCTTCGTCTAATAATGATAACCGTCAGTGAATAGTTAGTAATGTTTTATTTCGATTAGATAAGTCAAGAAACCAACGATGTTTTAAATTATTTCTTTGATGAGACATTTCTTTGTTCGTATTTAGGAGAGAGAGAGAGAGAGAGAGAGAGAGAGAGAGAGAGAGAGAGAGAGAGAGAGAGAGAGAGAGAGAGAGAGAGAGAGAGAGAGAGAGAGAGAGCGGGAGAGAGCCGCTCCTGTTCTTCAGTCAAAATGTGTATCATCTTTACATGTAATTATACTATCAATATTGAACTATTTTGTTGATAATGCTAGACCTTATTCTTGGAGTTAAATAGCGCTACACTGTTGGGTTTCGTTCCGTACTAGATTTATTTGGTACGCACTAGTCAGTTGGCTCATTAAAATCGAATGATCAGGTAGTATAATGATCAGTGTAATCATATCATCAATAATTACTAATTAGGCCTGATCAGTGAATTTGTATACTTTTGGCCGTGTCCCGTTGACTTCACAAATGATTTCATCCAAAACTATTCTAGTTTGCCAGCACCAATGGTCCAATGCAGTCAGTACCTGGTTATTTAAAATAGAATTGGCGTATTGATAACAATTTCGATATTAATTCATATAATTACCATGTCGGTTATATGAAGCCATGGCTGAATAAAATGCACTATTACTTAGTGTACGTCATAATATGTACGGCGTATGCCACACATAATCAGGTTTTTCACTTGTGTTAAGTGCACTTTTGTAGCTTTACTACTACTTTTATCATTTTGGTTGGAAATCGACTTCATTTGAAACATACCGAATCTTGGTTTGTTGGCTTTAAATCTCCTTTAGTTTTAAACGTAATCTGCATGATTGTTAAAATTCATCTTTAGAATATTCACGACATACGACAAGTGACTACTTTAACCTGTAAAGCTCTCCTTTTCTTGCTCTTTACTTTTAATAAGGTGTTCTCCTGACATGGTGTTAAATTCAGGTATTAACACCATAAATCAACTCTTCCTACTCGTGACACTCTGACCAATCGACCAAAAGAAGGAACAGAGTTCACGCCCAAAAACCAGGTCTAATCTAGGATGCCACCGTTCCACTGTAGGATGCCACCGTTCCACTGTAGGATGCCACAGTTCCACTGTAGGATGCCACAGTTCCACTGTAGGATGCCACCGTTCCACTGTAGGATGCCACAGTTCCACTGTAGGATGCCACAGTTCCACTGTAGGATGCCACCATTCCACTGTAGGATGCCACAGTTCCACTGTAGGATGCCACAGTTCCACTGTAGGATGCCACAGTTCCACTGTAGGATGCCACAGTTCCGACCTTCAGCAAATTTAGGGCTGTGTTTGGGCGGGGTATCCTGAGCCTAATCTAACAAAAGTTGGTCACACTTCTGGTAGTTAATAATATTTATAACACCGAAATTTGACGCTGCGATTGTTGTGCCGCTTTTGTTCTGTCATTTTGGCGACCAATCAACAGATAATAGGAGTTATTGGTGACGATATCCGAATTGTACACTCCGCATGCAATCAAATTATTGTTGTCTGGCAAAATGGTATAATGAATCCCATCATTGCTTGATAATGATATTAATACGAAATAATACTGCAAAATATGCCGTGATGTTGATCTTACGATGAGAGTGACGTCACGCAGTTATTATACATTTATGTAATATATATATTTATGTAATATACATATTTATGTAATATATACAAATTAAGCTGCACTTTTTCTGTATAACTCTTGTATAAGTCATGCCTTTTGATCCACATTTAATTAATTCTGTTATAGTTTGCCACAAATTTCATTCGTCAAATACATTATTCTAATTTATGAGCTGATGTTGTTGAGTAGACACAGTTGCAACTTGACACCAGGGCCAAGTGTGTACAGTCTAAATAACATGAGATTAAATACAGCTACAAAACGGTAATTCCTAATCCGACGGAAAGTTCAGTTATATTGACTTATATAAAATAGTATATAGTTTAGCATATTATATCCCGTGTTAGAATACCCGATATCGACATGTGTTGTTAACAGATTAAGTTGTATACCTGTTAATTTGTATCGTCTTATCAATATCACGTTGTGTGGTTATTACTCATCTCTCCAGCTCGCTAATACTAATTTGTTAATTTTCTGACAAATCCTACCTGAGTCAGCACCCAATTAGATGATGACTTAATTAATCACTTCCAGTAAAACCACACAGCCTCATCAGAGATTGCTTGATGACGAGCTCGTCTACTTTCGGCTAAAGTTTCCCGAGTCGCTGTACTATTGAGACTGGTGATATGGCCTGATGTAAGAAAATTATATTACGATTTACGTATCATGTTGTGCTGCTTGTCTAGATGTTTAGTTACTAAGTTTAGTCTGTGATAGTATGCTGTTGTTGCTCACTTGCGGTTAATCTGCCTCGAGCACACACTCAAAACAATGTTTTATTCCCGAACTTTCTTCTGAGCTTGTTTATTTGAGTGTTTTTACAATTTAATTAGAGTTAGTTTTTGAATTGAATTTTAACTTTGAGATGTTTAATAACGTGTTTGTTGAATTGTTTGCATTGTTCGCACGATTATAGACTCGTCAATAACCGTTATAAATGTTATGATTTTACTTTATGTCATTTTATTGCACTGGATTCAAATGATCTGTTTATAATATAATGGTTTTAAACTTAATACAACACTTCAAATCTATAACATATATAATAATAAATCATGACTGTATAGCATCTAATGTTGTGTATCATTCCTCAGTACAATGAAAAGAACAAGTAGGCTTACAAAGATAAGCCTATATAATAAGATTATCTTATCTGTTTAATGTTGCTATTTTCTGTGGAAATGCTTTCGGCGGAAATACCTGCATGGTGCCTTTAAAGTTTTCGTTTTGAGGCAAAAACCAGCAGTTTGATAGCGATTGAAACTTTACGTTCTACCTTTCAAATATTTCTACATCTATTTACTTTATTATCAATATTATATAACTAAACTTATCACTAAATCATTGATGTTAAAAACATTGAATAATTTATAAAACTCCTCCCTATTTTAGCCGTTATGGGGTGAGGGAAATGGAGCTGTTTTACCTGTTAAATGTGTTTAGTTTGGCGAGTGTGGTGGGGTTTGCTGGATGGTTAGTGGTTGTTGTTCTCCGGCCCTCCTCTTCTCGCGTCCCCGTCGTAAGTGAACCGTAATTAGATATTACTGACCTGTTGTGCGAGTAACCTGTCATTGGGTTAATGTTTGAAAAACAAGTTATAAGAATTTGACATAACTTGAATTTGAGCTGTGGTGCTTGTTCAGTACAAAACAACCTCCAACTTAACCCACTGTTTTTGTCCCCCAGCGCCGTTTGTCCCGCCAGAGGAGTAGAGCAAGTATGGACTCTCAGAGCTCCGACCAGGTCTACTTGGACTCTAACCTGGAGATAACGAACTCGCAGTTCTTTGACGAGTCTGACGACGAGTCTATGGATGATTTTCAGGTGAGGATGTAGACTGTCTAAACACACGGATATATCGCAGGAATTAAACAGGAATTAAACAGGAATTAAACAAAATTGGGTCAAACGGCAGATGCCGTGTCTGACCAATATAGGAATAGAAGGTTTAATATTCAAAACTACCCCAATGTAACAAATAACCAAACAAGGTGGTAAAAGTAGATAGCCATGTAAAAGAATATAGCACAGATAGCACAGTCTTATGCAGAAAAAACTCAGCCAAGAGCACTCAACAATGACAATGAAAGTATCATACAATGTCCACACACTTATCAAATACAAAACACGACATTCATTCAGTATTTTTCTTCGGGAACCTCCGTTCATCGACCTTATTTAAAAACCGTCCAATGTCTCTAATAGTTGTTGAGTCGTCGAAGATTTCTCCCGGTTCTTCTCTCATTACTAACAGGTCCCTCGTTCGTTGATGCAGGTTTTTGCGTAGGTCTTCGTATAGGGGGCATTCGTAGAGGATGTGATGCTCATCTTCTATCACTGGATAGGCCCCTGGTAGCTCATAGAGAAGATCTAACAAGTCATCGTCACTTGAGCAGCAATGTCTGCAGGCCCGATGTTTTATGTTAAACCGCTTTTTGCCGTAGCGACCAGTTTCAACGTTAAAGCGGTGGGAGCTGCTTCTGAATTGCGCGATCTTCTTTGAGCAGTTAGGTTTAAGATCAAGGGCTAGATACGTCTCTTGAGCAAACTTTCTCTTCACTAAGTTGTAGAATGATAGTTTTCTGTTAGATGTCCTTTCTGTTTCCCATGAGTTTATAAACCACTTTTGCAAACTCTTTCTAATCTGGCTTGGTCTTAATCCTTGGTTTCTCTCTGATGCCTCGATGGTTTCTTGCATCTGCTCGAGAGTGGAGAACCAGCTCAGGTTTAGGGTCGCCTGCTCTTCGAAAGCGTGTCTAGCAAAGCAGTCACGACCGTCTACAACCATTTGTTCAAGTCTTTCTTTGTAGTTGAACACTTGCTTTGATAGCGTGATGCCTAGTGGATGCCTGCCTGTGTCACCCCATATCGCAGCATTGGATGTTGACTTCCTCACCCCTAAGGTCCATTTCAAAAGAGACAGATGAAAGTTCTCTAGAGGGTCCCTGGCAATGAGTGTACACATGTTTCCTGTTTCTGGTGTGGTGCCCGTGTTTGTGGGGAAGTTGCGGAACAGAGCTGTGCTTGGCAGCCACACTTGGCAACCATACGACACCACAGGTACAATAAGTGTATCATATAGCTTGAACAGTATAGATTTCCTGATGTGGCGGGTATCAATGTAGCTTTTCAAAGAGAAATAACTTCTTAATGCTTTTTGCCTCAGCTTTTGTTGTGTTAGCTTAAGTGATCCGCTCAGAGTAAATGTAATGCCAAGGTAACAGTACTCTCTCCCGGAGGGGATCTGTTGTTCTCCCAGTTTGAACTCATGACTTTCCTTCAGATGCCTTCCTGTTGGGTTAAACACAAGGACTGAAGTTTTTCCAATGTTTACTGTCAGGCCCCATTCTGAGCAGTAGTTGTTTAGGACATCAAGCATTTGTTGAAGACTGTGTTTGTTGAGGGCTAGAAGGACAAGGTCGTCTGCCCATAGCAGATGAGTTATATCTGTATCATTTAGGACAGGGACTTTCACTCCTTCGATGTTGTTGAGATCATGTGAAAGCTGGTGGACAAAGCATTTAAACAGTTCAGGGGACATGGGGTGTCCTTGCTCGGTACCACATAATATGTCGATCTTCTGTGACAGCTTGTCTAGTAGCTTCACTTTGGCTGAGGAGTTTGAGTACATGAACTTAATGCACTCAAAGAATCTCCCTTGAATACCCATTTTCCACAACTTGTATAGGAGTGCCTCACGACAGATGGAATCAAACGCTTTGGCATAATCGACAAAGCATGTGTATAGCCTTTGGCGTTTCTTGGTGACATACTTTTCCACGCAGGTTGAAAGTGTGAAAATGTGGTCTGCTGTCTGTGCGTCTTTACAGAAACCTAGTTGGTTGGCTGTATCAGGATCACATTGATCACGGAATGATATCAATCTTTTCAGCAATATGCTTGCAAAGAGCTTTCCGAGATTGCTCGCTACAGCGATGGCTCTGTAGTTGTTTGGATCATAGATATCACCTTTTTTGTGTAGTGGTGTAACTACTGATGAAGTCCATGGGTAAATTGATAGGCTTAGGCAGTGGTTGAAGAGGTTGAGGACTGCTTTGAGCATGGATCGTGTTGAGGCTTTGAAGAATTCATTAGAAATTAGATCTTCGGAAACTGCCTTTCCTTTTTTAGTGGCCTTAATGCAAGCACACAGCTCTTCCATCTTTATATCTTGATCCAAAAGCTTGGTCAGGTCGTCACAAATGTTGTTTTTCTGCATCTTTGACTGTAGCTCTGCGATCTTAGAGTCTTTGATGTTCTTTTTGCCGTAAAGTTCACTGAAGAACTTGCAAAAGTTGATCATATCGAAGGCATCAAGACTGGTTGCAGGCGATTTTGTATTTTTAAGAGCTTTGAAGGATTTCCAGCAGATGTTGTTCCCTGTTTCTATGTCCTTGCAAAGCTTCTCAAAGAATTCTGATCGCTTATGTCTGATCATCTTTCTATATTGTCGCCGTGTGTCGTAATAAGAGTCCCTGAGGAGCTTGTCCAATGGGGATCTTCCATACTTTTTTGCTAGAATGTTGAGTGTCCTCTTAAGACGGATACATTCACTGTCAAACCATGCCATTTTTGGCTTCATTCGACTCTTCTTTTTGGTGCTACCATATTTATTATGTCTCGGCCCTTTCTGACGACTTGAGGCGTTTTTTCGGGGCATCACTTGTTCAGCAACCTGATGATACAGCTCAACAATTTGGTTGTTAAGGTTAAGAACGTCTTGAGGGGTTTTGCATGAACTTGTAGCCAGAGTTTCCGTCTTTTCCTTTATACTAGGGTCACCCATAGCTAGCAAGAATTTGAGCTCAGCATTATCCTCACATGGCCATTTGTACTTCCTGGGCGCGTCCTCGAGGTCACGCAGTATTTCTTCTGAAAGGGTTATGTTGTGTCTCAGGCTAAGTGTTGTGACAGAGGGTTTGTGATCGGAGAATTTGTTCAAATCAAGGACTCTAAAACTCTTAACGATCGCTTTTATGTCAGCTCCTACAGCAACATAGTCTACAACGCTAGCTCCGCCATAATTCACCGATGTGAATTCCCCTAAGGAATCGCCAAGTACGCTGCCGTTTAGGATGGTTAGATTTGCACAGGCCAGAAAGTCAAGGAGTAACTTTCCTCTAGGATTAACCATCTGGTCCTTGCTAGAACGATCATTGAGACAGGGGTGGCTGCGTTGGCTAAATGGGTTTGCAGCAGATAATGCTTCAGTATCTTCCTCGATGGTGTTGTTCAAGGTTGCGGTCCTTGCATTGAAATCACCTGCTAGTATCACCTTCCTACCGTTTTGAATACTATTCATGGTGAAGTCAAGTAAGTTGTCTAGAGTTGAAGCATCGTCATCGGATGTACTTTTGCTTGATTTCAATCTCTTCTTGTAGGAAGAGTGCTCAGGTGAGTCGTATAAGTTGATGATAACTAGTTCATCGACAGCACTCTCACTTCCTAGTTTTATCCTTACTGATTGGATGTCACTACAATTGGATGTTATTTCTTTGATATCCTTGGCAATAGACCTGTGGACACCAATGCAAAGTCCTCCTGAGCGACTGTTTGGTCTGTTGGCATTAAAACATTTGTAGTCTGGAACAAATATTTTACTCTTGGTTTCCTGAAGACAGAAAATGGGACAAGAAGTGACAATGGCAGCAAATTCAGTATCATCAATTTTCCTGCCTTCTTTCCCGTTTGAAGCATCGTGTATGTTCCACGAAAGGATTTTCAATGTCTCCCTGTTGTGGGAAGGCAATCTGATCAGGACATCAGTTGTTTTGGGACTATCCATTATGGTTTTTCTTCTGTTGAGGTTTGATTGAGTTTTTAGTCCCTCTTGATAGCTCAATGTCGAGAGATCTAAATAGCCCGTCACGGAGATGAAGCCACAATTTCCGAGCCCCTCGTTCATCGAGACCCAACAAGACTCCATGTGGTCCTACGCTGCGCTGGATGAATCCTCCGAGATTGTCATTGTTTTGCGTGCATATTTTTATGTCTAGGCTAGCATTATTCTTGGATTTGACGTATTCGCTTAGTTCAGAGTTTATCTGTCTTATGGTACTGCTGACTTGTGGATAGCCGGGGAGTGGAATAATCTGCGAAACACATATCTTTGCTGAGGTTGCTTTTGTTAGGTCATCCAAGATTTTCTTCATACCATCTAGTATCGTGTTTCCTGGCGTATTCATCAGAACATCAAGTTGCCCTAGATGGATATAAATGGCTTCAGGGTTGATTTCTGAGACTTTTTTGACTAAGTTTTGGTCCCTGCTAGCTGATACGGCAGTATCATATTCTATCCTCTTGACATCAAAACGTTTCGTGAATCTTGATTCGTCGAAGGTATTGAAGTGTGCGTCGTGAATGACTAAACATTTCCGGGTGTGCCAATGTTGTTTATTGAAGTTGTCACGACGGTACGTTTCACGGTTAACAGGGGTGCCATCACTGTTATTTTTGCTTTGTTTATTGGCACCAGCAGTTGTCGTGCTTTTAGTGGTTCCCTCGGACAAAAAGGTGACTGGGTCTTCAGCCTTTTGACTCGGCATATTCTCTTTCTTTCCTTTGTGTGGTGCCGTGCGTTTTTTGTCGTTTGGTCTTGTAAGGGGGTCCTCGGGGGTTTTGTTGGCGGCATCGTTTTGGTGTTTCGGTTCAAAACTATTAGCGCGAGGTTTGTTAGCAGACTGGATGTTACCTTCTTGACCTGCTGTGTTGATTTTAGGCAGATCTTTGAAACACGCTGTAATCTCTCGGCTGATAAGTTCAAACCCTTCTCGTTGTCCTTGGAGAATCTTGTCTCCTAAATCATTCGTAGCGCGTCTATTGAAATTTTCCAAATGACTTAGAATCGCACATTTTTCGTCGACTCCATCATATTGGTTGGGATAATTGACCCCGTTCGAATGAATTCCGGGTACACTCTTCATCCCCATGATATCGGATTTGAGTTTGCTGAGTTCTTCGCTGTGTCTAGCCTGTATTATGCGTATCTCGTTGGATTGGTTCGGCTCGTTGTTTTTCATTCTTGCGAGCTCGCTTTTTAAGTAGTTAACCTCCTTGGCTGAATCAGCTATCTGTTTTTCAAGTTCAAGGGTCTTGGATCGAAAAACCTTTTCTGCCGTTGCTCTGTGAGCTTGGTCTTGGATACGTTTCCGTTCTTTTTCTCCTTCTATCATTCTGTCCATGATATTGTCGATAGAGTTTTGCTGAATATTTAGGGTATCAAATATTGTTTTGTTTTTGTTGACCAGCGTGGCTAGAGTTTTCGAGCTGGTTAGTGGGGCGCTGGAGTTGAGTTGACTGGCTAAGGAGGACAGAACTGAATCTTGGTTTGCTAGCTTTTCTTGGAATTCTAGTAAGTTCTGCTCAAGGAGTCGTATTGAGTTTTCTATCGATTCGTGAGTGCTGCAAGGGACCTTAATTTTGCCGGGGGTTAAGATCTGTCTTGCTTTCCTCGTCTTCTTAACTTTGACCTTTACTTTCTTTTCTGTATTCTGCGTCTTGCCCTGTGCACTGTTACTGGAGCTGTTGTTCGAGTTACAGCTTTTGTAGCCCTTTCTGCTAGAGGCATTGCTGAGTTCAGAAGATATTGACTCAGAGTCAGTCTCAGAGTTAATGAGATCTGGAGGATTTGCCTTTTTTTGTTGTCAATCACAAGGTTAAAAAACGCTTTAATTGCAGTTTGACTTCGCTCGTTTGTTTTCTGACTGGTTAGGCCACAAAGGTCTATCCACTTGTTGAGATTCTTAGACGAGGCACTGTTAAGAATCTTGTCGCAGGTATCTCTCGAGAAAAATCGCAGTTGTTTTTCAACAATGGTGGTGTCGTCTTGTTTATCTTGTGAGTCGGGCAGACTTCCGTTGTCACCCTCACAATGAAGTTGTTCAGGGGCGGGGACGTTGCTTGCTAAACCAGTTATCCCTTGTACTGCGTCAGTTAGGGGACTACAGTGGGTGTTTTCAGGAGCTGGTTGGAGAACAATTGGCGTCCTGTGTCGTTTGCGTTGCAGTTGTACTAGTAAGTGAAAATCTAGTTCATCCTCGAGGGGTTTTTCTATAGCCAGGCTAATGCTCATATCCCTTCTGGTCTTTTCTAGGACGGATAAGGCTGTAAGGTTGCCTAGGCATAGGTCAAAGACATCCATCAGGTCGTTGTTGAATCTCTTTGGTATGATGTTAACTGCACGTTCTCGGCCTAAATGGAGTAACACTCTAGTGCATCAGTGACTTCTTCGTCTCCCTGTAGTGTGATAGGAACCTTGTCGCTCCTTCCAAGTAGACTAGTAACTCTGAGCGAGTTAAAGGCAGTGGAGGGCGATTCCAGGTTTGTGTCGTGGTAATGACGATTGAGTTTAACCAGCAATTTTGACAGAATATCTGCCTTATCATCATTTTCAATAGCCTCTATGTCTGACAGGTTCCAGGTTAAGCTGATGCATTTGCTGTGGGCTTCTTGCTCAAGGAGGTGTACTTCAGACGCGAATAATCTGGTTGATTGGTATTTCTCATTGAGAGCATTTTCAAGAGCGGCGACAAGATTGACTGGCGTGACGATCTCATCATCTTTAAGGAAATCTTGTTTAATATGGATCAGCGTGTTCCTACCTGGAGAGCAGTCATGGTACCCTTCGTCGTCAATTCTGATACACTCGAGTTTGCGGGGTGACTCAAAGAGGTCCTGTGAGTCAGCTGCGGATTCAGAGAGGTACTGTCTTTTAACGGGCGTGTCACTTGCAAACTCATACTCAGTCTGTGCTCTGAGCTTCCTTTTCAAAATCGCAGAAGGTTGCTCATGACATACTATCACTCAGAGTGATCACGCTGGGAGCAATAATATATATTTGAACCCGTGATTGTCTAGCCAGACCCAAATTCAAGTTTCCACAGATTGTTCTACTGCATTTGTTGACTTTTAATTCATTAATTCTTACCCGAGTAAGTTTATCCATTATATAATTATATGCATTATGGTAGTCTTCTGAATGTTAAATTGCATTACCAATTTTGGATCATGTGTAAGTTTAGGTCTTGGGTATTGATTGGTTGCAGATTGAGGTTGCAAAAATGCAATATAAATCACAACTTAGGTACAGAAAATATGTAGACTCGCTAAAGATCTTTTAGTAAGTTTAAAGTCTTGTGTAATTGTTCAAGCTGTACTGTACGATCTTGGCTACATTTTGTTTTGTTGTTTTATTTGTGTTTTTTTGTTCATTCTGTAAACAATTGGTGTGTAAAATTGTAGATAATTATAAAATGAATGACATTCAAATAATTCATATAACTGTTATGCCATTTCTTGGTGTTAAATTCGCGATATGATCGATTATAAATTATCATTGTGACTATAGTTAGATATAATATTATGAACTATTATGGCTAGATAATATAATTATACACAGTAAGACAGTACACACCCCTTATAAGCTTTTAGTCAGCCATAAATAATAAGCTTCTAAGGTTACAACATAATAATACAACAAAAATAGACCGTGTAGATTGCAGTAGAGGTCTAGTATAGCTGTTATAGTCTGCGGTCTTCCAGTCCAGCACATTCCAGCAACCACATATTATTATCTCAGCCACATATTTCGCAAATAATATCCAAACCTCAACCTCCAGGATATTAAGGTTTCCGTGTGTCCTCAGTTGTTAATCCACTGTGTAACCACGATAGCAATTATCCTACGTCTGGTATATCTAGCTAGTCACGTGGTGTAGAATTAAGTAAGTAAATGTTTGCCGTCATCTGGCAGTTAAACTGTAGGTTTGGGTCCACTCCAAACATTTTAAACTCTGTAATTTACTACCTCTGTAGCAATTAAATGTGAGTGGTGGAATGGTGATGTACAATGTTTCATACAATAGATAAGTGTTTGCTCAATTGGCCTTAATTACCTACCACTCTACATTAACTCAATAGCAAAAACGTAGTAACATTATACCGTAATATTATCTTAATAACATTACTAATAACATTACTAATATTACTAATATCCTAACTAATTAAACTCATTATCTAATTAACTCATCCCTCTTCTCAGAGTGTAGCAGGCAGTAGACGAGTATCGTTTGCAGATCGAATATACGACATATCATCCAGCGTGGCTACTACGTCCGAGAAAAGGAGATTGTCCTGCATTGACCTGAAAAACTCAGATAACGGGAGTAGCAGATATAATCTGTTTCAAGAAAATAATGGGGTAAGTAAAATATAAACTACAATAACTAACTAGATAAACATTATGTTTTCGACCCTCGCACAGCTCTTTCTTCTTTATGATTTTGGAATAAGCTAGGTCAATTAAATAAGATTTTATTAGAATTTTGTTGTTTCGACCGACTGTATTTCTAAAATTCTAGCTCATAAGCTCATAGGAAGAATATAAGGTTAACATTTTCTTTTAGAACATACCCAAAAGTCACACCGGTTCGAGACTCGGCAAAATTTTGTTCGTCCAGGTTATTTGATAGTAATGTATAATAAGTATATAATATAAGTAATGTATAATAAGTATATAATAACCAATATATGACCGACACACAATACAATACACGACGTGCATTATGCACATCATGGTGCACGTGCGATATGCGTGATGCACGTGTACTATTCACAAGATCCTAAATCCAAACCACAGAAATCGTTTGAAGTGGTCAGAGAGTCCTTCAAGATTCTGCAACAGCTCTCACACTAATTAATTGAACCACCAAAGTTTAATCTTCCCCTTACATGCAGGAACCCCGGATGGAGGAGGTACCGGTTGAAACTGTAGTAATTACATACTTTGTAGTCTTATGTGTATATTGTTGTGTTGGTTCATCCTCCTGTTGTTCTCTTGTTGATACTGCTTGTTACTATGACGTGTAAATTAGGGGATGTATTATTTAGGGGATTGCTGTTTAAAATGTACATTATGCAGTGTGAAATATAGCGTACATTTAATTATAAGACAGTGCACATAGTGTATTTAACAGTGTATAATACGAGACATGGTATGCTGCGTATACTTGGAAACTATCCAGAGTTAAGATACCGAACAACAACAACTGTATGTTGAGCGCTGGTAGGAATGTTTACATTACAATAATGCTATGTTACATCCAGCTGTAGGTCTAACGATAATAACAGCACCCGTCCGTTTTAACAAGTACCACTTACCACTTGCACCACAATTAACTCCATACCCCCTGGTAATGTTATCACTAATTAACAGGTGCGTGTCAGGCCTGCTGACCAAGCCCTGGTACTAATGTAATGTTACCTTGGTCAAGGTTAAAATATAAGGTAATAAGGTAATGGTAGTGTCACAGTTAGTTGCGCACAGAGGGGGTGGGAGGGTCATGTTAAAATGTTAGGTAATGTTAAAGTCACTGTACAGTTGTTTTAACAATCTGCCAACTCCTCAAATACTGATGTATTATATTGTGATAATCTATTGGTGGTGGTATTTCATGGAAAAGCAGTTATGTTAATTAATATATCGATAGAAACGTGAGTGGTTATAATATTAATTAAATCAGGTATATTAATTAATACTTTGTAAGGAACTTGAGTGGTCAGTTCAATAACAGAATCCTCCTAATGATACCGAGAGTAGGTTTAATCATCCGACCAGGAAGTCCGTCCTAACTGGTGACGCTTACAAAGCGGCTGCTAACGGTTATTTAACGGCTATTTAACGGCTATTTCTTTATGCCTCACGAGCCTGTATTCCCAAGGGACTAGTTCCTGCAATCATCTTGGATAAGCCGCTACCTTTCCCTAGCACGGAGTTACCCGAAATCAGTTGAGGTTCAAAGTAGACCCTGGTTCAAAGTAGACCCTGGTTCAAAGTAGACCCTGGTTCAAAGTAGACCCTGGTTCAAAGTAGACCCTGGTTCAAAGTAGACCCTGGTTCAAAGTAGACCCTGGTTCAAAGTAGACCCTGGTTCAAAGTAGACCCTGGTCCCTGACACTCTGGTGGCATTTAAAATAACACTCCTTCAGAGGCTCCAGCACTCATTCATAGGTTACTGGTTAAGTTCTCCAAGTTTAAACGGATAAGTGTAAACAAAGATTCTTCCTCCTCACTTCTCATGTGCTGTAAAGATAGGGTATGTCGTATGAGGGATCACAATATTATCTTAATTATGATGGGGTACGAAATTTTTGGTTGATCCATTGGTACTCAACAACAGCTATGATGACATAGTATCTTGCTGTCCTGCATTGTCAAAGTTTTTCATAAGGGTACAAAGTTTCATGATCTATTATAATATTTAATTGTGACTATAAGATCCCAGCCATTGTTTCTGACGTCATTGCATTGTTTGCTGAAGACTGCAGAGTTGATAAGATCAACCGTCTCCCAGTTCACTAGAAAAACTAAATCTACTTAAAACTCATGGCACGATTCCACAGAATGATCAAGTTGGAATGCCTGGGAAGTTTTGGCTTGGTACTTTAAACATTTTATAATGTTAAGTTCAGGATTTAAACGAGTTAAAAACTTTGTCAGTTTACAGTTCTACTAATGATCAGAAAATGTTCACAACATTTAAAGCTGTGTTATGTATGGGTATATTATGGGCGACAATGGCCAACACGTCCTCATTGTCTTTCCGCCCTCACACAACTTTGAATTTAGTTGCGAGGTTATGTTTATAATAATATGTTTATGATATATATAATATGGTTTGATTTGGATAGTATGAAAGAACACAGCTACTTTTTTACCAATTCATTTCAAATTCAACCTATTGTCTTTAAAAGCTAGAGAGAGACCTTTTAACTATTGTAACAATTTCAAGAACTTCCATCCACCACTATATTTAACATTAACTAATTTAATCTTTTCGTTTGGTCATTAGACGTCACCGTCAATTGTTTGTGATGTCTTCAAATTTATGTGCCGACCAACATTAATTATACCGCTGATTGTGAAACACATTATAATTAACGATCCACCCCGATTGGATTGAATCCTCTTTATTCTTTGGTTGAACCACGTAACCATGGTAACAGCATGTCCACGTACAAGCCCTTTGTTTTCAAATTTTATATCGAAATCTAAGGTCGACCATGCGATGCCTTCGCAATCCAATCAAAGCGATATGATTGTCTTTTTGTTTTTTGTCGCAGGTCTGAGATATCAGAGGATTAGGTTACTGGTGAGGCGTTTGATTGGTTAAAAAAGTTCGGGACCTGTCGTGCTTCTAGCTTGATGGTGGACTACATTTTGCTCTAGACATCTTGAAATGTGTTGACGTTTATCATAGTCAGATAGTTGTTGTTTGTTGGTCATATCCCTTTTCAATTCAACATAACATTATTTCGTCACCAGGACTAGGAACCGACCAGATCAGCTTTTTTTTCAGCAGAACCGGGCCGAATTTCAATTTTCGAATCGATACCGGTTGTTTTGAGCATATCTTTCTTCCTTTAAAGCGGATTGCACCGTATTTTCTTTGTGTTAGACCTTCAACACATTCCGAAGAAACATATTTCATTACTAACAGGATCTGGGCGTGGTTACTCCGTATAGTAAAGCCGTGGTAAGGTTGTACATCAGTGCTTTTCATTTACAACTGAAACGAAACCTACATGATATTTAGCAGGTAGCTAGGATTTGGACTATAATATGTAGCTGCTACAATGTACCTAACTAGGCTGCTCTGTACCATTAGATACCATTAAAAGTGTATACTATATTGAACTAAGGCTCTGTACCAGTATGTAGTCTGACCAGTAAGCCAGTAAGGGGCTACTGGTATTGACCTACACCAGATCGTCTTTTGTATCATTATCATATAGCTTTATTTTATTTCCATTACAAAGGGGGCCAATTATCCAGACCTTATTACAATAAAGACTTCATTACATTACTAAGAGTTGTAACTTGCAGGGTCATGCTAACAATAGAAATTACTGTCGAACACACAGCCCATGAAATTTAATGTGGCACACGGAAATCTTCAATCAATGAACTTTGATTGTGATTAGGTCTACACTCTACAATATATTGAATGGGGGAAAACTACCGATAGTAGCTTTATCGGATAGTTCAAATCAGTCGATGAAGAAATTGACGCAATGTTAATTAATGAATTCAACCTCTTTACCCAATTCTTGGCAGTATGTATGTCTGAAATGATGTGTAGAATTTCTATTCTCGTAGCCATTGTTTGATTTTGCTGTTTTTATCAATTAATAGAAACACAACAGCCGAGAACAATAAGGAGTGTTGACTATTACATACTGTTTTGCATACTGTAAATATAAATGTTAATAATGTGAATGTTAAAACTTAAAAGTGTAAATTGTTCTAAGAATTATAAATAATTCAAATCATCAATCATTACTATAAATATAGGAAACTTTATAACGAGGGAAAATCAAAGTATATCAGCGATAACGCTGCTAATGAAGCACTTGATTCCGTTGAAACGTGGATACTATTTCACCACTAGTTCTACACCACTAGTTCTACACCACTAGTTCTACACCACTAGTTCTACACCACTAGTTCTACACCACTAGTTCTACACCACTAGTTCTACACCACTAGTTCTACACCACTAGTTCTACACCACTAGTTCTACACCACTAGTTCTACACCACTAGTTCTACACCACTAGTTCTACACCACTAGTTCTACACCACTAGTTCTACACCACTAGTTCTACACCACTGGTTCTACACCACTAGTTCTACACCACTAGTTCTACACCACTAGTTCTACACCACTAGTTCTACACCACTAGTTCTACACCACTAGTTCTACCTCATAAAGGTAAAGGTGAAATTTACTTAATTACTGTAGATAAGTCACGGTACTTTCTACACACAGGACTGAAAGTCTTCGTTAGAAGTATCTGACTAGGTCACGTTATTATTATCATATTTTGTATTAATAGTAAGTCTATACTCTCTTAAATATATCATAATATAACTATAATACTAACGAATATAATACATTATCTCATAGTTCTATGAACGAATCTCAGCGTTGCAACAAATGTTATACACGTATTCCTAAAGCACGTTCGTTCCTAATTTGCAGTCACTGCGACAAAATAAAACATATGAAATGCATGAAGTTATCTAAGTCTGAGGCAAAAATAATTGTAGATTCTGGCTCTGCCTGGATATGTTATGACTGTATTTCCAGCGCCTTACCAGTAAATGCATGCCCCTCGGCAAAGCCACCGAGACAAGGGC